AAAGCCAGATTTCCTTAAATATGTGCATTTACCAATTCCAGTGCTGTTGTTCAATTGGACGTATAAGCTAAATGACAAAAGAACTGGCAAGCAGTGTAGCTACCGGCGTGACTGTTGAAAGATGAGAGATGAAACACCGGAAGCGTCAGTGTTGATAAGTTGGTTGCATCAGTTTTTATACCTTGCACTCCAGTAAAAAATTTACGAGCAGTAACGACTGTCGTAGTTGCCGTTCGTCTTTGCAACTCCGATCTGTGGAGGCAGAAGCGATTTGTTCGGAGACTATTCCGAGTATGGCCCAGTCATAACTGTAGAGGTTTTACGCCCAAAGGACGATCGCAGAAATGCTCAAGATCAGTCACGTAGTGTGAACAATTCGACGGCTGTTAAAACTAGCGCTGCTGGCGGTAAACTTGGTGGACTGATGCACTACTCATAAGGTTGCTGAAAATCCGTCGACATCCCGGTGGATTGGCGGTGGACTGACGTTCAGTTATCGATACTTCGTTATCAGGGAAGCAAATATGGAACTCACAGCCTCAAGAATTTGAACCTCACTTGATTTTTCGGCAAATTTCAAGGCACGCGCAAGTTCGTCAACCACTTACAACTGATCAAAATTTGTTCAGAACTTTTCAAGCGTTCGTGGCGCCACTTGACCATGAAGTCCTGGCAAACGATGCAGTTGATCCATGCAACCAGGACAGTTGCTGCCTCCCCGATCGCTCAAACACGAACAGGTTCATCTGTTCAAAGTTGATGATAGTCCACATGCGTCTAATATGCGCTGATAAAGTAGTGGTAACAGACTGGCCTCGCATGTCAGCTGATCAGCGTACCAATCCCGGTACGCGAAAGATATACACTGCTGGCGCCCGGTAACAAGTGCGAAATTCGAGTCCAGTGCGTTTTTTGAGTGCCTTCAACGAAAAAAAATTAAAGCACTGCTTTGTCCATAATTGACCATCCTCCCACTGTAGCAGCGCGTGGATCCACAAAAGATGCATACAATTCAAACGGAAGCTACCGGACTAACACATCTGAAACCCCTACCAATATCAAATGCATGTGTTTGTGGAGAGCTTCGTTACCTCATTCCCCTCACACGTACCGTAATCCGGTCCCTAGAAACGCACTGACGACATCTCCTCGACTGACGATGAAACCTTTGTGACCCAACTGCCGAGCTCAGCGAAAAAGCTGACGATCATTTTTGGTCATTGCTGTATAAATCATCAATCGAAACAGCCCGTTTTCCCGAGGTTATTCACTGCCACCTGAAGATTGTACATCAAGTCATCAGTTTCCCCTTGAGATTGTGAATAATTTTGCTTTCTTACCCAAAGCAGTTGGACACAGTCATTGTGCATGCCGAGGTGAGTTTAAACGCTAATTAGACTAAGTTAGACCCCTCATTGTCTCAAAACTTCTTTTATCTTTACCACAAACGCACGGAGATTCAGGTGATTTTACATAAACAGTGCAGGATTTATACCTCAAAGTTTTCGAGCAAACTCCTCATTCGTGCTTTCAATTCATGTATGATTTTGGACATACCCTTCTACCTGCCCAAACGCCTCGCCAATAAGTCTCGGACATCTACGGTCGAATTCTGAGCCAGACAATTTGTCAGTCATCTCAATAACGGAAGATGTCATTACGCCAAACGTACGTTTTTTTACCTGCATACGATGCACCGAATGATTTCTCTCTGCTGGGCTTTTCGTAGTAAAGCGGAAGATTGCCCTTGAGTCTAGGAACCGCTGGTGGAGCCAAACGAAGCCAAACGCATTTTCTCACCAAGGGATTCACGTTGTGAATTCACTCCCACGGTATGCACATTACCTTCCTGTTTTTTATTGATATTTTGGCTAGCTCACATCAAAGAATGGAGACTCTGGATTTGAATTTTACGGTCATTAAATCGAATTAGTCTTCTTGTCTTTTCGGAAGGAATCTTGTACAACTTGACTTGAGATGTGAGCATGTAGGTACTCTTTTGCCAGCGCACATTGGTGCCGTCTTGCCTGGTCAGGCGAGCGCATTGAGCGAGGGGACGGGTTCTCTAGACGACTCAAACAACAGCCCAAAAGGTGCCCTGTCTGGGCCGACCCAGTGACCTGCTTTCCGGGCCACCTTTTAATACCTAAAACCTACCAATCAATTTTGTCTGAACACTGATGAGTATTTACGGAATTCGTCTTCAAGGTAACCCAGTAATTCAGTAGCTCGGAGTTCAGATTCCGGTACGGCAAACAGTGTGTACTGGTGGTGCACTCAGTGAGTGCACTTTACCGCTCGCAGTAAGGTGCTTCTACGGCCGAGATGCCTGTTTTGTACAACGTTGGCCAAACGTTCGGGCCACTTGCCGGTCCGGTATTAAGGCGAGCTCTGATTGGTCGCAAGCCTGGACCCAACAGCCAGTCATTGGCCAGCCAGCATTGGCCGAATGACGGTTGCCAATCCCGCATCCAGGAGGCGTCTGAATTTCCAGAAGGTTGTCACCGCATACACCATATATACGACGCGCTGCACAAGTGCTCTTGATTTGGTTTTTCGCGTTTTTTGGTGTCGTGCACATTTGGTGGTTGTTTTCATTGGTAGGCCAGCTTGGGAGGTTCAGATAGAGAACCAAGCTGAGGAACATACCGTCCTTGCATTCAAATTTGTAAACAACCGGTGAATTTACTGCTGGGTAAAGTTTTGCTGTTGGAAAGAAAGCTTTGTCAGGCCAAGTGAATAAGTTATCAAGTTGACCGAGTTTTGAAGCAGTCCGAGAACCAATCAGTGACATCTTTGGCGATTAGCCGACTTGATCAGCGCTAGATGTCGGTCTTTGCTGGGCACAATGGAATATTCCGTACATCTTGTTGGTCTGTTTGCTTTCAGGGCTGCAAGGACGTTTATTAAGTGGATCTAACCACGTTCGAGTTCTGTACTTTTAAACCCAGATCGTCACACTGATAACCACACACTGTCATGCGTCATCTGGGCTGATCTGAAACCGTTCTCTACAGCCTTGCTAACCCTACGCCCTCTATTCTCTTCAAGCTGGAACGTTGGAAGATTTCCACCGCCTCGGCCACCAGCACCTGTCGTGTCTGTCTTAGTATACCAACAACAGCTGTTGTTTAGGCAACCGCCGAACAAAACTGTTGATCATATCAGCACCTCTGGATTGTATCTACTACCGGAATGATCCGCACATGCGTATTCTCCGTTCCGGACACCAATGATTAGGGTACCTTTACACACTTACTGAATTGCACTGCTGTTTAGAACACATTAACAGAATGTCACCCCATTGGATGAACACACAAACATGGCGCATCCTAAGTGCAGCTCAGATTTCGGAAAAAATAAGTCACAATATCCGGCTCCTAGTGTTGTGAAGTCAAAATCAACCGTGGGTTCACGGGAAACTGCATAAAATGACATGTCCACAAAAATCGAACGCTATCATGATAATAGGAATGAGTAACCTTAAAAAACGAATGGTGTTAGTACTACACGTTGATTCACTGGAAGAATGACCACAATATTATATATAAAAAGCGCTCGCAATTAAACCCCTTGCTCACCACTGCATTCTACAAATTTGACGGACCACCAGCTTCGATTCTGCTCCTTCTGGAGAATTAGAATGGAACTTTGGTTTTATATTCCTGGCGAGACATACTACTCAAAAGGTTGCTGATAAATTGAGAAGTCCTGGACTTAACGGGGCTCAGATTGCAATAAAAAAATTTAGCGTCATGTGATTATACACCATAGAAAGTTTAAAGTCAAGACAGCCTATTGAAATAAAATGTTCCAGTCCGATTGCAATCGACTGCAAAACACCACTATCCACTACATCCGAAAGGTCCGATCACAAGATCTTGCTTCCCTAAGCTGTGTTGTGACCTTGAATTCAGCATACTGTTGATAATTCTACGCCGAAGACTTTTCAACAGCCTTATAAGTGATAAGTTGCGCAAAGAAATAAAGTCCGATCTCTCTAATATTAGACCAATCAGAAATACGGGGATGTTGGACGGTCTTTGTGCAGAACATCCAGTTGAGGGATACCGTTAGTACTAATATAACTTAACTTGGAGTTCATTTTTGCTTTGATGCTCTTGGAGACTGACGGCACATTTTTTATCGAGGTTTCTGGTTCAGCATTCCTCCGAAAAGTCATAGTGGCAGCAAACTTGTGGTAGGAGTTAATACGAACTTTTCAATCATACAGTCTGTCTCACTGAGCGTTGTGAGATACATATTTCATAACTGATCAAATTCACTGTCCCTTGCGTTCGTGAAAGTCCAGACGAGTGAACGTTTGCATCGTGGAACTTATAAACTGCAGCGAAAATTCTTCGTGTTGTTGGAGGTAAATTATTAGGAGAACCATCTCCGAACGTAACGGGACTATATAACAGCCAATGAAACAGCTGTTTTTCGTTGAGGCAGATTTCATTGGTTGTTTTTCATTCGGCCTTGACAGGTGAGTTGTATTCTTAGTGTCAATTTTGACCGCTTGTACGCGACATTGATCGATAGAGCAGCTGGCTCGCGCGTTCATTGACTTTTCTGGTTCAGCCAAGCGCGCCGGGCGATCAAGTGGCTATCCAGACCAGGGTTCACGGTAATAAGAAGGCATTAAGTGACTGTGCTCCACAACATAAAGCATAAACTTACACTGTTGGATATGATATCGATTGTGATTCACGAAAAATTATGTCGACACTCAGGTGGAAACCCTTTTACTCCAGAAAATATGTGGTGCTACCTGACGACCCATGTTTGCACTGAACACTCCCACAATATTCTCAAAGTCTTTGTACACTAATCTGCGTATAAATGAAACCGGAAACCCTTTTACTCCAGAAAATACGTGGTGCTAACTGACGACCCATGTTTGCACTGAGCACTCCCACAATATTCTCAAAGTGTTTGTACACTAATCTGCGTATAAATGAAACAATTAATGAAATTTATTTTACACGTTTTTGCAGAGGACTCAACTCCCGCTTTCGAACATTTTCTCGGATTGTTGGGGAGAAAAGTCCGATTGGCGGATTACAAAGGATACCTCGGAGGGCTGGACACGAAATGTAAGTCCACGTGCAAGATCTTTAAAAAGTACATACTTATCGTGGAGCACTGTCGTGCAAAATCACTGCAAAAACAGTATGGAATGAAGAAGCATGGCTCTGAAGATGTTTGTCAGGCACAGAACCGTTGACGTGGCGTCGTCGTTGTTTCGCTCAACGTATAATTGTGCAGTAGTAGGTGTACACATTATGATGGGATGCGGCCGGACTGAATCACATAGAACTCTTGCCAATATCAAAATCGTACAATCGTGGAGAGCGTTGCTCAGTCTTATCCCTCCCCCACTACCACGATGTTTACCTTCCCCTTGTTGTACTCAGTTATCCAAAACTTGGATCTAAAACAACTTGATTTATTTGGAACATTTGGAACGCCGACGTCGTGCATTTGAAGACATCTGAAGACACTTGACTTCCGAAGCTTACTGGGATGGATAACAAAACAGCTGTTTACTGTGACACCCTCAAGCATGACCTCAGCTCAAAAGAATAAGCTCCCATAGGTCTTCAACGGAGTATTCTTTATGACCTCTCAAAAGCCGCACACTTTTTGCTTGGCAATTACGTCCTCACGGTACTGATCTACGAATCACCTACGATAAAGCCTTTTATCTCACGGAACTCTCACTGGGTGACAATGGTTGGCGTGTTTCTTACGAGGACAAGCATTTATCTCGCACTGTGAGGTGTTCCACCAGTGAGCTGATGACAGGAATTAGGACTTAGGTGTTAGATGTCCCTCTGTCATCATATGACTCCAACTATCTTCCAGGCATGAATTGATATGTATATTGAGGTCGTGGTCGCTCTGCAGGGATATTAGTGGCAGTCTAGGTATCCCCAAGAAAAATCCTTAAACATTCTTTGTTTACTTCAAGAAGACATTTGACCTTGTCAGTCGAAAACCTCCGTAGACCTGTAGTGTCTGTAATCCGTTGTCAGATTTACCATTCTTCCTGAACTTGAACCACACTTTGTAATTGTCGTTCACATTGTATCATGACGTTTGTTTTAATGTTACGAACACACAAATTTCCGGTGCGACCTGCTGACTTCTTGCTGAACGAGCGTACTTACGCTCCGTTGAACTGTTTATTGACTGCTGAACCAGTGGGACCAAATCTCTGTGACTGTGTCAACTGTTGAACGTCACAATAAATCCCTGTGACATTTTTTAGCCGTGNGAAATCTCGACGAGTGAATATTTTCCTTTCACACCCAGTTACTGCATTTGGATCGGTGTAGTGGACTACTGGACCTACGCATTCGTGAGTCCCCATTTGGCTACTCATTCCCTTCCTATTGTGATTTTTGTGATTTTGCATTGGTTACTTTTGTTTGTTAATTTATCCGAACACGCTGATAAGGTCCTAGTCCGCTACATAATTGGGTCACGTCGGGCTCACCAATTATGTAGCGGACTAGGACCTTATCAGCGTGTTCGGATAAATTAACAAACAAAAGTAACCAATACAAAATCACAAAATCACAATAGGAAAGAGATGAGTAGTCAAATGGGGACTCACGAATGTGTAGATCCAAAAGTCTACTACACCGATCCAAATGCAGTAACTGGCTGTGAAAGGAAATATTCACTTGTCGGAATTTCCCACAGATGGTTCCGCGTGCGTAATATATTCCACGGTAGGAGAATTATTCATGGCTAAAAAATGTCACAGGTATTTATTGTGACGTTCAACAGTTGACACAGTCACAGAGATTTGGTCCCACTGGTTCAGCAGTCAATAAACAGTTCAACGGAGCGTAAGTACGCTCGTTCAGCAAGAAGTCAGCAGGTCGCACCGGAAATTTGTGTGTTCGTAACATTAAAACAAACGTCATGATACAATGTGAACGACAATTACAAAGTGTGGTTCAAGTTCAGGAAGAATGGTAAATCTGACAACGGATTACAGATACTAGAGACCGCTCTTTTGGGAATCAGTTATCTTCCGAAATTTGTCAACATCTTCCGGCGCCTGAAGGGAGAATTAAAACAGCGGTGCGTCTTTGCATATGCTCCTTTCACTCTTAATCCAACGGGCATCGCAGATGTGGCGTTCATGAAGGGCGATGCTGGCACGTAGTCTGAATATTGTCTTGATGGTTGACTACTCAGTATAGATGTTTGAGTGCGAGATGCATAGTCCACTAGATCAAACTTCACAGTCCGACTTCTGCGTAGGACTGAGTGCTGTTGGCAAATATGCACAGTAAACTGCACTTCTGACCGCACTCGTTTAGAACTGTTATTACGCAATTTGTTCTGCGCATCAACTCTGAGGAGACCTTATGCAGCAACCGGTGCCATATGGAGTATTCATAAATCCTTCTGACATCATGAACTGAACGACGCTTGTTGGCTATTGCACGGACTTTAGCTACCTCGAAAGGACACTCTCTGTTGACTTGACTATTGACTGTGAGCTTGGATCCCGTATAACGAACTCCGGGGAACCGGAGCCTGCAACCGTAAGTGAAGCTGCTAGTCCATATTGCGGCTGTTCTACTTGTCCTCTTGTACGGTACTGAGGCACTGTAAGTGTGTCGGCACGGAATGTCTTTCCTGAACAGGTTGAGGTGCTTGGTGCTTGGTGAGCTGAAAGATGGCTGGACACGGAGGCCCTCCTATGGGTTCGTTTCGATCGTCGGCGGTCATCATCATCATCAACAGCATGACATCAGCGTTCAAAACCGATGCTTCACTGAACGCATCGGTATTGTGTATTTGAAGTTCGTCTCAGTAAACTTGATCGGATGAATCGAATCAAGTCAAACTGTAGCTATCGACGGAGTTCCACGCGAGTGTATTCTTTTTCTGGCGTACTGATAAGAATGGTCACAGTCGGACAGCATCATGTTTAACTTTTATACTGTTCCTTCACGTTCTTAAACCGTTGAGTCTTCAGCGGGGACTATCTGTGGGTATCAGTTTGCAGACCAAGCTGAATACCAGTTGGCATTAGCTGACTTTGTATACGTGCCGTGTATGTAGCTTACGAATGGGGCGAGTCACCACAACACTTTCCGCACACGCTGTTCATCTCGGTTTAGTTAGCTACAAAACATGTACTGAGATTTCAATGGTTCCAGCTGCCGCAGTTTCCGCCACCGGGAAATGGAAGGTGTGGGAGATATAGACAAGCACTGGAGGCGATTGTATAACCAGACATTTCGGTAATATTAGCCTACTTATAGGTGTGTGTTCAATTGTGCCTGCCGATTCTGACACTCACAGGCCACTGTCCGGCTCAGTGCGAACTGTGTGTGGCAATACTCCCTGTGTGAGGAAGATCGTCAACTTCATTCGACGTGATAGGCCAACCTGAAAGCGGATACTAGCCTCTCAGGAACCTACTGAACTTGTTCATTCTCTATCTGCATAATTCCTTGCGGTGAAAAAAACAGTGAGATGAATGCCATTTGATCTAGTGGAAATACTGTTTCATCGGGGGAACCTTCATTCACGGTAGTTTTCTCTCGATCTTCCTTGTTGTTGGCTTAGGATTCTTCTGGTTTAGCATTCCCACCGTCTCTGTCGCTGTTTTTTGCCACTGTGATTTTGCAGTGAAGCAACTTTCCTCAGCACTGATAATAAGCTCTCAGTGATGGTGAGGAGCACAACCACGATGACGCTGTCGAGGATGGTCATATTTTATTCACGAGGTTTCTTCTCGTGCTTCTATGGACTATTTGTAATGGGTCATGCCTCCAGTTGATGTAACAGTTCACGTGTCTACGATGCATTCAAGAAGGCTGTTATATTGCATCAGCTGAGAGATGTCGTCTAATTGAGTAGAAGCGAGTTGCAAACTAGATCGTTTATAAGGATTGCATTTTAGGCAATTTCACCCAGGAGCTATTCAGTTCCAAGCAGAACGTACAACAACATTCCTTCACAGACAACCATCTTCGGTGCCCGAATTTCTCCCAGGAAGTGTCCGCCATTAGCGACTTATAATAACGATCTAACTAGCAATAAAGACCGGCGGGTAAAATTGTATGTGCAGGTAAATACTTTTTCATGGCTCTAAAAATACCCGTTTACGCGCAATACATCTAGGCCTCTCCATCGATAACTTATTTAGGGCTGAAATATGTGGAAACTTCGCAATGATTGTGGCTCTCCCATTGATTTTATCACAAGTAAGCACGTTTTGAGACGCTCAGCCGGGCTCGACTACAAATTTTTGCAATGAATTCATCAGGCCAGTAGTGCAAACGTGTATTTATGTGATGAGCATTTCGCGCTACCTTAAATTCAATCAGTTTTGAAGCTCTATGATGGTTCCCAAACTTGTGGCATTTTGGAATGCGGACTAAACTAAATCACGTCATCTTCAGGAAAGGATTTATTAGTAAAAGTGCCGGTAAAGATCAAATTCATTGGTTGTTGATCGGGTGGCCGTTGATCTGTTCGCCGAGCTTCACCATTAGCGTGCAAACGTTTCGTCACCATGCGATGAGACATCAGTGCGCAGTTGGGTGGGTACTTCTTCTGTGTCTGCGTGCATGTATACAGCATTCGAAAGCTATCTGTTATCTTCTAACGTGACTGACAACTCGAAGTGTCACGAATTTAGTGAATCTATCGGTCCGCTTAGGATCTTTGTTGCGTTGTGGTCTGCGTTCCTTTTTGTTGATTGGTTATCCCAACGCCTTCGATTTTTAGTACCTTGTTCTCTCTGGCCTTGCTTTGCATTGCGTTGTGGTCTGATATTCTCTAGTGTGATTGTTGATGATGTCTCTCCGTATGGTGACGAAACGTTGGTAAGCCAATTGCCAAGCTCGGCGAACAGATCAACATCCACCTGATCGACAGCGAATAAATTCACTCCTAGCTACCAATATCTCAACGCACTAGCAAAGCTCAAATTCACACTTAAATGTTTGCGCTCCATTTGAATGACCGCGCACGTGGTTCTGTCCTGCCAAACTTGGGCCATGAATTTCTTTGCTGTGGAGTCTGTAGCCAGAGTTCATTAAAGTTGCTTTCACGACGAGATACCTACTCCAATCACCCTTGTTCCACTTTACTTTATTCTGCATTTACTTTGGACTAAATGGATCCAACAAAGATGAAACTGGGAATAAGGGCACGGTATGGCTTATCCCGAAAAAAGGCAGTTGCACACCTCACGTGGTTTTACAATTGGTAGTAGAAGTGATCACGTAGCACTGTGGGTGATGCTGTCCTAACCTTGTCTGTTGCGCTATTCGAACTCTCTTTCCAATCCCATATGGCCCCTTTGGTAAGCAAACACGAAAAACAGTCGTAAACGTGGAAACTCTTCAACTACCTCTGCTTTGTCCAACAGTTCAATTGTATTTGGGTGTCAGTTTATTCACCGGGGTACGCATTTTAGCGGCAACACCAACCGAGGTATCATCGTCAGTGCAAGGCTGAGTGGATCAAAATCATCGGTATAAGCAGACGTGATTTGTTTACCAAACTTTAATTAACAATTAGGAATTGTTCGAACACAGACTTCCACGAGCTGAGTTTAGGGAACTCAAAGTGAAATAGTCACAGATCAATCACTGCCTGTCAGCCCCTTGGGGATGGAATGATGGTGATTCTCGGGAAATGGCGAAACCCGTTTTTCAGGACTTCCTAGCCTTTTGTCATCAACGGCTTTCACGTAGATGATAAAATTTCAGTCGGTATTTGGACCTTATTCACTGCTTCAGCTGTTATTTTCTTACTATTCGCGCACTTAGAGATATAGAACCAATACACTGGTCAATCGTCTTCCGTACATTGGATCTAACTTTCCTTTCCATCTTGCCCTGTCCAGCCCAGCCAGATATCCAAAGCTACGTTACCGAATTCGCCGGGTTCGATGTGATGTTTTTGGTATCCACCATGCTACCGTTCCAAAACAACACCGAAGACCAAGTAAGGGGAGATGAATTGGATTCCTCGTCTATCTTTTAGTTTATACTGGCTGGTTTTAAAGGGGTGTATTCCTGACTTGAAGAACGAATTTGAACTTGCCCACTAACATCCATTTTTTCGTTCATCACAGTAGTTCATCCGGTGCAAATCGAAGCCAGACGTGATTTCCTCCATAATTATAACTACTAACAAAGATATCAGTAGCCAAAACTGTATCTTCACTCCCACAGGAAGCATAGTTGAAAGACGAATAGTTCAAGATAATGAGTGGCCTAGTTGGTGTGTTAAAACTCACCAGAAAAGGTAAAATTTGCCCAACTCTCCGACAAACGCTCCCATGTTTTTTTCTATGCCGCCTACTGCCACGTCACTCTCAACTTCTGGAGTTCTTTTCGGTAATATCGGCCTGTATCAGCACCAGCCCAATGTCGACTGACCTAGTGTAACGGTGATACTACTGGTGGGGAGGCATGCGAGTAGTATGTTTTGTTCTTGTAAATTCGCTTTTCGTCTCTTGAAAAGGGAGATCTGTTGCGGAATTTGTGGCGTTTGCTTGGATTTGAGCAATGAATGATTGGAGTTAATGAATATCCAGGAAAGTTCAAGAAGACGCGTTCAGGGGAAGATGGATGTCCAGTTTTTGTAAATAAGATGCATATGAGAGTTTTGCTTCCCTGTCCAATAGTCTGTAACTGGTCAGTTGGCATTTTCTGATAGATAACGCCGCAGCGAAGGCCTCCTTCCTTTCAATAGTAGTGTCACCAACAATTATATTTGTAGTCCGTACCTAGAACGCTGTGGACCATACGAACGGTTTCCTTTTATTTATTGTGATAACCGAAAATATTTCGGTCCAAACCATCCACCCAAGTAACGTATCAATCAGTCAAATCTAGGTGTTGCCAAATGCGTGGCGGTTCACTATCTAGTCAAAAATGGCTATCGAGCACTTCTGGAGCCTTCTTATGTTGAGTTTATCGTTTAGGCTGTAACGAAAACGTCCGTAGCTTCTCGTGATAGTCTCCATCGCCTTTGGAGGGGATGTTCCCTCTTACGTGTCCATAGTGTGTATCAGGAGGGGTTATGCGGGGCAGAAATATCAACACAGCCTTTTTGGATTGATCAACTTTATAACGATTCCGCGCCCATTCATCTACTCCCCTCCAAAGAGCAACAACATTTTGCCTTCGAACTCGGCGGCGATTGCATGCCTCAGAGTATTTGCAGACAGATCACTTCACACTTTATTCAGACCGCAGTCAAAGTTGAACCTAATTTCCGAATTCGTACAATTCAGTCGTGACCACGATGAAGATGTCTGGTGTTTGCAACCGTGCATTATTATTGCGTCGTATGCCATGTTTTTGGTAGAACATGAATTGCATATTTCCACTGTGTTCTCCACCTCATAATATAAGCTACGCATTGTTAAGGTTTACTTCGTAGAGCCTGAGTAGTTTCTAGGGCTATGTCGAACGTTATCCCTAACGAAAATCATGCCGGAAGACAAACAATTTTCATACCAAAACCTAGATTTTTAAACACATTCGAAGAAGGGGAGAAGGTAGACATTCTTAATGCACTGCTCGTAAGGTTGCTGAAAATCCGTCGACAGTCCACGACCGGTTTTGCCCTTCTTGGGGCTCATCAGATAGGCACCGTCCCCGAGTTTCCGCCAACTTTATGTACTAACTGAAACCAAATTGCATCAAGTTAGCGAAATACACTCATTTGCAAACAAATTTGGTTTTGCGAGAGACTCACCTGGAATCCAGCTGAATCTCCCGTTTGTGATGTTTTCAGGCAACTGAATGTGAATCACAGCGAGAGATTCAGTTGGGTTCCAGGTGAGTCTCTCGCAAAACCAAATTAGTTTGCAAATGAGTGTAGTTTGCTAAGAGGAGAAAGTGTTTTTGGTCCTTAACTAGTCGCTGGTGAGGTCGAAGAAGCTGACTGATGAAGATGATGATGATGATGTCACCAAAAAGTTATCTTTATTATAGGACCAGTCAGTGCTGGTGTTGGTCAGACAGGAGTGGAAACTCCGTCCACCAATATTGATAGATTCTAAGGTCGATGGTGTAAACACATACGGTGGTGGGCTGACTGCCATTGAGCAGATTCCTTCGCAGCATCAGAGGTTTCAATCCTCTCGGGGCTCCTTTGTCAATAGGGTGATACAAATTACCCAAAACCTTAATAATGTGGGAACAAGCAAATACCAGAGAGAGAGAGATTCGGTCATTTTTCAATCGGGATTTTGCCCAATACATAACGTCTGGCTATGCTAAAAAGTCGATAAGCTCTGCACATCTGTTTCATCCTTGATGAAACTCATCAACAGTGCGCATCTCAAGAAACTCAATGTAGTTTCAGGACCTGCAACCCCCTGGCTAGTAGTTTGAAAGCTCAACGGCTTGTTAACTCGCTCTCAGAAAGGACGTAGCGTCAGGTACATTCACAGTTCGCCTGTCAACACTTCAGAAATGTGGGCACTTGTTTACTCCTGTCAACTAACTTGCTAAAAACCCATTTTATGATTACATTTAAATATTTTCCATAAAGGAAACTACTCACAGGGTTGCTGAGAACTCTCCGACCTTGTGAGTAGTTTCTTTTATGAAAATATATCTCGAATATCGTGCCAGCTGAATCATGAGGCGGCCTGTGTGCAGCACATTCAGCTGGAGAGCATCATAAACGAGAGATTCAATTGAGTCTCCCGTGAAAATCAAATTGATTTGCAAATGAGTGTATTTTTCGTCCTACTATATTCATTCAACCAAGTCAGAATCCTGGCTGTATAGTGGTGATATACAGTTCTCATCTAAGACAAACGACATAAAGACATGCCGGTGAGCGGAACATCGTGATGGAAAAATGTTTCCGACTTGTATATTTAGATTTGATTACATAGTCTTGGGCTTAGACATGAAAGCACAGAACCGGTAACAATCCTTAATTAATCTGTGAAATACCCAACTTTCGAAATGAAATACTGATGAAGTACAAACCATTTATGGCCTTTTGCATAAATGCAAATCACAGCAGCGCAAATTTTGGTAACAAAAGGGGGAAAGAGGAAAATCTTGTGATCATTTTTAACCTGTTTAGTCCTCCGCATCGTGAAAAATTATTCCATGGCGAGTGCGCAGCTACTACTGAAATGCTTGTGGACACATTGAATGGTGACGTTTGGGTGAAGAATCATATAAATTTGGCTATTTCCTATTTCGGAAAACAGTTATTCCAAGCTATACTTGCGTTCAACTCAGGTAATTTCAGGAGTATTCAAGTGTGTCATCGCACCTACTTGTTGAGCCCACAGAGCTGACTGTATTCTCTGGAGGAATTACCAGGGTGCTTCTCAACCAAATTTGCAAGCAAATTTGGTTTCCCGAGAAACTCACCTGGAATCCAGCTGAATCTCTTGTTTCTGATGTGTATTTCGCTAATTTCGTGCACTTTGGTTTCAAGCAGAACATAAGGTTGATGGAAACTCGGGGACTGCGCCTACCTGATGAGCCCCAAGAAGGGCAAAACCGGTAGTGGGCTGTCGACGGATTTTCAACAACCTTATGAGTAGTGCATTACGAATATTGTTACTTCAACTTGTTCATGTAGCATGACTTTGTTAATCATTCAGGCTCTTTTCGTCCCTTTGAACGGTGCGCAAAACATCACTAATGTTTGGTTCTGAAATGTACCGAGCATCGAAACTATGGAATCTTTCTTGAAGAATGCTGATGCCTCGTAAACACCAGCCGTGTGTGCGAATACCTAGCTTGTTTTCCCCATTGCAGATATTAAGAAAGCGACATATCGGGAATAGCTCGGTAACGATAGTGTTTCAAGAGGAAGGGGCACCAGCATTTGAGGTGGACTCAATTGTCTCACGGTTCCAACAAGTACTCATTATCGTTCATCTAGTTCATGATGAAAACGGAAAACCCGGCTACAAGTAAGTACTGGTCACCATTTTATCAATCGTGACTGAGTGTGAATCCCAGTGGTCATTTTTCTCAAACTGTACGAGTCCTATATCATTGTTCTGGCTTCATCTTTACCCATTCAGACATGGTAGATAAAACAACGCTGCCGAATGTCCCCTGTATGCGTTACCAGTTCGTGTGAGGAAAACTTTGTCTCACCTAGTGAAACAGGCTGAAAACGCAATTTTATTGACCTCACATCATTTCCCCTAATCGCACTCATCAGGAAATGACGAAGTTACCGGAAAGTGATCGGTCATACCGAGCACATCAACGCACCTAATATCTGGCCATCTCTTCAGCTTTCGGGAAAGAAATATGATAAATTTATTCAATTGTTTTCCTGTATTTAGTTTGGGGAGAAAAGCGTAATAAACATAGTTCAGAAGAGCAGTAAAGATACTGCAATCAAATAACGGCCGGTGGCAAGATATTCCATGTCGTACATGGAAACATCTTATCAAATATCCTGGAATGAGAAACAGCACGTAGTGTGCGGTAAAAAAACTCACTGCAGTTTTTACTCTTCTGTGCGGAATGTTTACAAAGTGTTGTGTCTCATACCAGGAGAGTTCTTCCCACATACGCTGAAACTAAAAACACCAAAGGTCCGTCAGCCTTTTTGAGAGCTCGCGAATTGTGGGCTTTAAGTACTGACCCACTCATCTTCCCGAGCCTAGATGACAGAGTCTCAGCTAAGTTCAACTAGACCTTTCGAAATTTCTTGACATGCTTATGTGGTCCACGGTAAGCAGGGCACAACTGAGTATCTATTCAAGCAGATTTCCGGGACACTTCCCAGCTTACCTGCACTTGGTAAAATTGAAATCTGGATTCGATTCTTGAGAACTTGATACGAAGTGATGACCAGCAGGACTGCTCGAGCGTCTAGTTTACTCGGTATAAAAATCTCGCTTTTTAAAGTCTCTCCAAGCAGATGTTGGCCGTGGAGGTAGTCTTTGAGATCGTTTAAAATCTGAGGTGTACAAATAAGGACATCTGATTCAACCAATTCTTCAAACTTGTCCTTAATAATCAGGAAAGACAATGATTATCCAGCCTCTGTTTGTCTGGTGGAGTGGGTACCAGCGTCAATGGACATTCTGTCGTAACCGCCTAAATGGTATTTGATTTCCGCTGAGATTTCAGCTGCAACTGCGTCTTCATAGCCTAATTGAATGCTTCTGAGACCGTTTTGATCACATGCTTGTCTGAAGTAATTTCTCAGAAAGGAATTCTCCGGTATCCTCTCATATATTCGGTATATTCGTACAATTATATTGAGTATTGAGTATTACCAAATGTCACATGACTATGAATCAATGGGTAGCTCAGAAGAGCGAAAATTTCACCGCATGTATGAAACTCCCTTTCTAAAAGCCATCATCCGAGTATCCAGTGAATACTTCATGTGTTATCAGTTATTGAAGGGTGAGGGGCACCAAGTTCGTTCTAGGTGAAAGCTGGTGATACTACTGATCAGCCGTTCACGATCAAACGGTAAAGTGTGCAACCACTGACTGGAATGTCGCGGTTTTTTTACTTTCTGAGCTTCTTAGGATGCACAGCGTTGATGAGTCCCAACAAGCGTTAAACAACTGTACAGTGCTTCCCGGCCTTCCAGTTAAGGTTGGCTTCACTGACAGCATGAAATCTCTCTAGTGGGAAACCTTATAAGTAGACGAAAATGAGAGAGTGGGTTATACACTACTGGAAACCTTATAAGTAGACGAAAATGAGAGAAACATAACATCATTGTTGGTCGGTGGCTTGTTCGCTGAGCTGGGCAAAATGATTGCAAACGTTTCACCACCAATCGATGTGACATCATCAGTGCGTTGTGGATCGTAGCGTTGGGTCGGTGTTAGTGCGTTGAGTAGTGTTGTGTGTGTGCGTAAATGTATATGCTATTAGCCGGGGTTGACCTTAGATCACAATTAGCTGTTCGGTCGGTTCTTTTGCTTACTCCGTTATCCTGGGTCCTGACTGATCGCTGACCATGTGACCTTTGAGCTTGGCCCCTCCTACCCTCGTGCTCCGGTCGATACCGGAGTGATCTCTGGTGTTGACTCCTCTGGGTTCCGGCCTAAGACTTTTTATTCCAACCTTGATCCAACTCCAAGGAGTTTCTTGCTTCTTGTGAACCCGATATTTGGCTCTCCTTGAGTATTCCAGCGGAGGAGTTGGTCCTTTTCACGTAGTGGTGCTTGAAATGAATCCATTTCAATGCATCGGTTGGTCGAATCAGCCGTGGGGTGCCATTTTTCCAGATATTCCCGTGTCTCGTGTCTCCGTGTGCCAAAAGTTTCGCGTTTTCCAGATTGAATTTGTTGCTCTCTTGGTCTTCGTGTGTAGTTATCAAGCATAGGGGCTCATGTCATTCTCCTCTTTAGCACACCACTGTACTGCTGACACGTCATGTGACCTTATTTGTGTTGCTGAAGTTAATCCAAATTTCAACATTTTTCATATGATATATTTTGACAGGGTTGCTGTTTGTCGCTCCAGAGATATTCCGCCTTTCGGTCCAGCATATTCTGCAGATCAAGTGTTTGAACACAACCAAGATTTTGCAGCGTTTCTGTTGGTCAAAGGTGAGTTGATGGAGTTGGACTTTGGTCCATTGGTGAGGCAAAAGGATGTTACACGGAACTTTATCCTTATCAAACTAGCATCATGAAAGCCAAGATTCCGCTAATGTAACTAATTACTAAACCAACGAATTGAAAAATTAGTCGTTATTTTGACCGGAGACATTCGAGGTTAATCAATAGCCTGAAGAAGTTCATTGCAACGCGTCTCATCAACACTTTCCAAATGGTTGAGCACAGGTGTTTTTCAGTTCGACGTAAACCCCATTGCACACAGCTCACTTGTAGAAATCTGCTTGGCCAAGGTGAAGCAACTGCTCATCACATAGTGTCAAGTTTTGAATTGTCCATCTTTTTTATGGTCATTTGAGGTGTCCAATATTCTGCACAAAGAAATCCAGAAAATAAACGTCGTCCTGAACAGATTCAAAAGTTTACTCTGATTAGTATGACTGCAACATTAGGTTACTTTTCTACTTGAAAGGAATAAACTGGTGCGCATTTATGCCTTCCGAGCGTAAGTGAACTTACACATTGTCTGCTTTTGCTCCTGTAAGCTACAGGATTTTGAGTGTCACCATAAGACAGCCTATTCCCGTCCGAGAGGTTTCATGCTTTTACTGGCTTTGACTTCTTGCGTTCTTATTTATTAGACTTTTGGTGGCTACATCAGCTGAGATTCCATAAATGTTCAACAATGTATTTCCCCGAGGGAATCCTATACGAGAGCTCGATAATACGGCCAGATTAGACCCTCTCAAATCTGATTTAGTCATTTGCAGCTATCAGAATAATCACGCCAGGTTGGTTCACAACAGTCATTTCACTAAAAAACACCTAGACGTACTAAAAGCTTCATGAGCAAACCTTATTAGGAGCGAATATACACTCGTGTGCAAACTAATTTGGTTTTTCCAGAGATTTACCTGGAAACCAGCTGAATCTCCCGTTTGTGATGTTTCCAGGTAACTGAATGTGCTGCACCAGGCCGCCTCATGTTTCAGTCGCTACGATATTCGAGATATCGCGATACATGTATATGTTTGCAATGTACTACTCATCATGAGGCTGAATATCCGTCGACAAGCCACGACCGGTTTCGCCCTGTTCGGGGCTCATGAGGTAGGCGCAGTCCCCGAGTTTCCGTCAAACCTATGCTCTACTTGAAACCAGATTAGTTGCAAAGGAGTGTTTATTCGCTAATTTCGTGCAATTTGGTTCTAAGTAGAACATAATGTTGACGGAAACTTGGGGGTTGCGTCCACCTGATGAGCCCTCAAAAGGGCGAAACCGGTCCTGGGTTGTCGACGGATTTTCAGCAACCTTATGAGTAGTGCATTACAAACATACACATATAAGGAACGGTTCATCTCCATCAGAAGACCTGGAATCTGCGTCTCTTTAACCTCTGGACCATTCTAGACGATTTTGGTGATTTTGGATGGACAAATAACAGGACGGACTTTGTAGGATGAGTTTATCCCTTTTCGTCCTTTATTTTCAAGCAGGCAGCATTGCAAATACTTTCAAAACATTAGATCAAACGATTTTAAATCTGGTTCAGTGGACAAGAACGCCGACGCACCCGGGAGAGTGATATAAAACACAATGAATTTCACAATCATTTCAAAGTGAGCATGCAGAGTTCAACGAACTCAGGGGTTGGTTCCCGGGAAAACTTTGACCGCGTTCTGTAATTCTGGCATCTAACCAACCTCAAGGATATAATCGCCTTGCGATTAATTTGATGAGCTCACCAATCGACTTTTGAATTGATGGTCCATCTCGATAGTTTGCCGTTAGACGCATTTTGAGTTATACTTCGATTGCCAAACGCGTAGACCCCTAGCTGTTTGGTTTCATTTAAGCGGTAGAGGTGCAGAAACTAGTTTTTTGGACAAAATCAACACACTAGAACTTAAAGCAAACAGATTGGTTACATTCGACAAAATGTCCTGGAAATTATTCTGGGGATATAAGCTGCATGAAGTAGTCAACTTCAAATTTTATCGCATCTACCGACACTATGTGGCGCGCACTAACTTGTCTATGCTTAGAGGTGCCCCGTGCATCGCTGTCTTGCGGTAACTTGCCCACCTCAGACTGCACACAGGGCTTTTTGCCAAAAGTGGTTGTACTACGGCGAAAAATTTTGGTGAATTTGAAACCCGGAGACCTTCTTTGTGTGAAAAAACTTCCAATGTGGACGACCAACGGTGCGGTTTATTATGCGGGGACCAGCTCCATCTCCCCAGGGTTTTTCTGACCCCGTACCGAAAATTCGCCTGTATCAATCAGAATTTGTCAATACAAAAAAAATAATCTTTATGGGTTTCTCTTTTATCATCAAGTTTACTGAAAGTGTTTAAAAATCATCGTAGCCCGTTAGGTACCGCGTGCCTTTGAGCCTTGTGCGGTGTATATATTTGTACACATTTACCGACTAAGGATAGATAAATCTGAGTTTTATATCCGTCCGATTGAGCTGAAACGTCAGTGGTCCAAAAGTCCGCCAAGTGGATGCTGTGCGACGGAGATGCAACCTGTGCCGTTCTTCTCAGGCCTTGAATGTTACATATCGAAGTCAAGATACGCAACGCACTCAGAAGCATCAGAAACGGAGATCTACCACTGGATGGTTCTGATTGTTCCTTCGAGACAGCACCGATATCGACATGTTAGTCTGTGACCATATCTTTCCACACATCGTTGAGAACGCTACACCTAAGTAGTTAACAGAACACGAGACAACTCAGTGGTTGAGGCGACAACTCACGGACCCTGGTTTGAACTCAACCTCAGCGTCATGACTGCTCCTGTCACTCGGCATCCTGGCAATATTCCATCCCTCGAGCCTCATTCAGGTGAATGACAGCTAGGCACCTGAAGAGTGTTACCCACGAACCATTGCTATTTAAAGTGATTGATAGACTAGATAGTTCCCCTCTGACCAAGGTCTTAAAGCGGGGCGATGCGAAGTTCAGTAGTCTTATGTATGCATCAGTTGCTCATTATATCTGATGAATTTTCAGCTATCAACGGGGCTAATGCTGCTATGAAGGGCGAAAAACTTCTCAAAATTGTCAGACGGTCTCGTGCCGCATACTTGGATCAACTGTTTCGTGATTACGCTTCCGCACCCGAATCGGATCGGAAAAGGAACAGTAAGTCAGTAGTGTATCATCATAATTTTGGGATGCCTGCAGGAGCCCTGATTACGTCGTTATATGAGTCTGTTCCAAGTCCAGAAGAATAAACCGACCTATCCGACGAAGAGTTTTTCCTCCGTCCCTCCCGAAAATCCTTCGTTGTTTATAACTTACTGTTATTGATTTGTCGTTACTTCTTCGGTCATTTTTGCTCAGTTCATTCTACAGGGCTGTTAGGCAACCTATAGACTCTGAATTTTGCACACTGTATGTGATTAAATAAACAAGCATATGTGACTAACACGTGATTAATACCACTGAAGATTCTCAGTCCAAGCTTTGAACGTAGGCCCAAGATTCCTATCTGTTTGCCAATTTCTTATTCCTAGAGACTTGTTAAACAGGAAGTTGTAAATTACATTTATCCATCCATTTGCTGCGATGTACATGTCATTTGATTCGCCAATCTATGGTATCTGCTGCCGACCCGCTCCAGTGCCTAGTTGCCGAAAAAAAACACAACAGCTATATTTCGAGCAAGGGAGTGAGTGCGTGAGAGTGCGAGAGCAAAAGTTACAACGGCCCCATGCTATTTAAGGGAGACTTTCGGACATTGATCTAGACTGTCTGATAGGCGTTAGTGAACACTTATCAACATCGATCGTGCCTCTATGAAATGCCTGAATGCTGATCACATTCGGTCGCGCTTCTGTGGCGTGCATGAACACTCATCGGCTTTTGCTGAATTGATTGAATGATTGACTGGCCTGGATGCTTGTCGACTTTCCTATTGAGATTTTTTGGTGGAGTTTTAGGGCCCCAGTAGGTTCCGGGCGTTCTGGGATTACTTTCAGGGATCTGATCTTCCTGAAAGAAATGCTTTTTCTAGGCGCTCACCATTTCTACTTGACATTTGCGTCAGTTCAATCCACCTAAGTTGTGTCCAATAAGCCAAGACTATGTATCACAGAATTCCAGGATGGTTTAATATTGGAAGGTTCTGGACGACTTGGCTGATTCCTTGATAAAACTAAATACAGTGTGAAAAGTGGAAAAGGCCAAAATGGGACTTATCGATTCATGACAGCTGCTGAGAGTTCCTGAGTGAAGGTCCGAACGCGGGATGTGTCTTCTCTACAGTATTGCTGCTACGCATGTTCTGTAATTGTCCATGACCTTGTGGGGTTTGGTTGACCTCCTGTCTTGTGTGTGTGTGTGTGTTCTGGACCGAGTTGCACTCGTATCTACTGTGTGCGATGTGAAAAGAGTGTCTTCTCTTGATTGACAGATGCACAAATTTGATTACAAATTAACCTGATGTAGACAAATGTGGACAAGACAAATGGAAATTTCAATGTACATGTCGGTCAAGTTTGAGAATGGGACAGGATTTAGTCACATGATTTGGGCGTTTGTGACGCGTAATCTAATCTAGGCGGCCGATGTACCAAACAGCTCAAGCTGAAGGTTGAAGGAACAAGGCAGTGATCGGTACAGTTTCACTCAAGAAAATTGGTGTGCTTGCACAAAACAGTTTGCTTCGACCAGGCCTTAACCGGAAAAGTCAAGCACAGATACTCCAACCTCCGTTTTATAAAACCGTTTTCTCCTCTGGATGGTTCAGTCTAACATATTTAGTGTTCTATTTAGTACATATTCAGACCTTTCGCTCGATTTGGTATCGTAATCAGTAATTAGGTGATACCCTCAAACTTTACTTTCCTATGCCAGTTTCTTGTTGTTCGTGTGACTCGTCCAATTACCACAAGTACCAAAATTTCTCTCATGCTCATTCTCATGAACTTCATGAATCAGGATTTTATTGTGGTTGGGATAAAGCATTATTTGTCGTAAATACTATATATTGTACTATTGCTATCATACTTGGCGAAAAATACAATGTATACCACTAAAATTGCACGAACGGTGTAAAAGAAGATTGAGTGATCATCTTGACTGACCACTTAGGGTTGAGTCCCATAAGCCACCGCATGTGCCAAAAACTCCGCCCCTGTCGAAGTTACTTATACCATCCACGTATATCTCTTGTTCTGAATTCTTCCGAATTTAGGAAAGTTCTCACACTTGAGGTTATTCGGTCAAAAGATGCAACCTCATTCGACAACAGAGCTTCCGACAATACCAATCAGATCATACAGACGACCGGACAACGTCGATGGTTCGTCAGCTGTTTGCTCCTCGGGACCAAATGAGATCATCGTTGGTGAGAGTGGTACACAAAAACTTCTGGATTCAGGAGAGGATATTTGGAAAGATATCACCAGCAATATCGAAACCCAGCAATTTGCAGAAGCCTTCCCCGTTACCCTATTCGACGTGCACACCGTCTATGGCTGGCAAACAGCAAGTACAATTCATCGCTTTTCACCATCCGGTGATGGCCTGGCAGCTTTCCCATGGAACACTTCAACAGACTGCCAAATGACTTTATCAGTCAGCCGATATTGGGTCACTTTCAGTTCACATGACAAGGGTAAAACAGCCATGAACCGTCTGATGTTTGCGATCAAAACTAGCTCTATTTTTGCGTTCTCCGTGGGCAAGGATGAAGGATCGTGAGTTGTTCTTGGTACACACACATTAAAATCCATTTTAGGTTCATATGAACGTCCAAAAGTTAAGGCGAAAATCTTATTCTTCCCCAGTTTTGACTGTTTCATTTACCTGAATGATGGAATTCAGCTTCGGCCTTGATGACAGTAATGGCTACAGTAGTTTCAATCGATAAACCCCACTCTGGTGTCAATATTTGTAAAGCGAATAGCGTCGGACGCCTTCGAATGATAGTAAGGATTCTAAAGGCGTCAACAAAGCATTCAGATTGACCGTTGAGACAGTGGAATGGCCTGAGAAAATATTGATTTCTTTGAGAAGTGAAAAAAACTGGAAGAAACATGGATGGTTCTGATTGTTCCTTCGAGACAGCACCGATATCGACATGTTAGTCTGTGACCATATCTTTCCACACATCGTTGAGAACGCTACACCTAAGTAGTTAACAGAACACGAGACAACTCAGTGGTTGAGGCGACAACTCACGGACCCTGGTTTGAACTCAACCTCAGCGTCATGACTGCTCCTGTCACTCGGCATCCTGGCAATATTCCATCCCTCGAGCCTCATTCAGGTGAATGACAGCTAGGCACCTGAAGAGTGTTACCCACGAACCATTGCTATTTAAAGTGATTGATAGACTAGATAGTTCCCCTCTGACCAAGGTCTTAAAGCGGGGCGATGCGAAGTTCAGTAGTCTTATGTATGCATCAGTTGCTCATTATATCTGATGAATTTTCAGCTATCAACGGGGCTAATGCTGCTATGAAGGGCGAAAAACTTCTCAAAATTGTCAGACGGTCTCGTGCCGCATACTTGGATCAACTGTTTCGTGATTACGCTTCCGCACCCGAATCGGATCGGAAAAGGAACAGTAAGTCAGTAGTGTATCATCATAATTTTGGGATGCCTGCAGGAGCCCTGATTACGTCGTTATATGAGTCTGTTCCAAGTCCAGAAGAATAAACCGACCTATCCGACGAAGAGTTTTTCCTCCGTCCCTCCCGAAAATCCTTCGTTGTTTATAACTTACTGTTATTGATTTGTCGTTACTTCTTCGGTCATTTTTGCTCAGTTCATTCTACAGGGCTGTTAGGCAACCTATAGACTCTGAATTTTGCACACTGTATGTGATTAAATAAACAAGCATATGTGACTAACACGTGATTAATACCACTGAAGATTCTCAGTCCAAGCTTTGAACGTAGGCCCAAGATTCCTATCTGTTTGCCAATTTCTTATTCCTAGAGACTTGTTAAACAGGAAGTTGTAAATTACATTTATCCATCCATTTGCTGCGATGTACATGTCATTTGATTCGCCAATCTATGGTATCTGCTGCCGACCCGCTCCAGTGCCTAGTTGCCGAAAAAAAAAACACAACAGCTATATTTCGAGCAAGGGAGTGAGTGCGTGAGAGTGCGAGAGCAAAAGTTACAACGGCCCCATGCTATTTAAAGGAGACTTTCGGACATTGATCCAGACTGTCTGATAGGCGTTAGTGAACACTTATCAACATCGATCGTGCCTCTATGAAATGCCTGAATGCTGATCACATTCGGTCGCGCTTCTGTGGCGTGCATGAACACTCATCGGCTTTTGCTGAATTGATTGAATGATTGACTGGCCTGGATGCTTGTCGACTTTCCTATTGAGATTTTTTGGTGGAGTTTTAGGGCCCCAGTAGGTTCCGGGCGTTCTGGGATTACTTTCAGGGATCTGATCTTCCTGAAAGAAATGCTTTTTCTAGGCGCTCACCATTTCTACTTGACATTTGCGTCAGTTCAATCCACCTAAGTTGTGTCCAATAAGCCAAGACTATGTATCACAGAATTCCAGGATGGTTTAATATTGGAAGGTTCTGGACGACTTGGCTGATTCCTTGATAAAACTAAATACAGTGTGAAAAGTGGAAAAGGCCAAAATGGGACTTATCGATTCATGACAGCTGCTGAGAGTTCCTGAGTGAAGGTCCGAACGCGGGATGTGTCTTCTCTACAGTATTGCTGCTACGCATGTTCTGTAATTGTCCATGACCTTGTGGGGTTTGGTTGACCTCCTGTCTTGTGTGTGTGTGTGTGTTCTGGACCGAGTTGCACTCGTATCTACTGTGTGCGATGTGAAAAGAGTGTCTTCTCTTGATTGACAGATGCACAAATTTGATTACAAATTAACCTGATGTAGACAAATGTGGACAAATGGATAGGGAATTTCAATGTACATGTCGGTCAAGTTTGAGAATGGGACAGGATTTAGTCACATGATTTGGGCGTTTGTGACGCGTAATCTAGTGAGTGCGGCCGATGTACCAAACAGCTCAAGCTGAAGGTTGAAGGAACAAGGCAGTGATCGGTACAGTTTCACTCAAGAAAATTGGTGTGCTTGCACAAAACAGTTTGCTTCGACCAGGCCTTAACCGGAAAAGTCAAGCACAGATACTCCAACCTCCGTTTTATAAAACCGTTTTCTCCTCTGGATGGTTCAGTCTAACATATTTAGTGTTCTATTTAGTACATATTCAGACCTTTCGCTCGATTTGGTATCGTAATCAGTAATTAGGTGATACCCTCAAACTTTACTTTCCTATGCCAGTTTCTTGTTGTTCGTGTGACTCGTCCAATTACCACAAGTACCAAAATTTCTCTCATGCTCATTCTCATGAACTTCATGAATCAGGATTTTATTGTGGTTGGGATAAAGCATTATTTGTCGTAAATACTATATATTGTACTATTGCTATCATACTTGGCGAAAAATACAATGTATACCACTAAAATTGCACGAACGGTGTAAAAGAAGATTGAGTGATCATCTTGACTGACCACTTAGGGTTGAGTCCCATAAGCCACCGCATGTGCCAAAAACTCCGCCCCTGTCGAAGTTACTTATACCATCCACGTATATCTCTTGTTCTGAATTCTTCCGAATTTAGGAAAGTTCTCACACTTGAGGTTATTCGGTCAAAAGATGCAACCTCATTCGACAACAGAGCTTCCGACAATACCAATCAGATCATACAGACGACCGGACAACGTCGATGGTTCGTCAGCTGTTTGCTCCTCGGGACCAAATGAGATCATCGTTGGTGAGAGTGGTACACAAAAACTTCTGGATTCAGGAGAGGATATTTGGAAAGATATCACCAGCAATATCGAAACCCAGCAATTTGCAGAAGCCTTCCCCGTTACCCTATTCGACGTGCACACCGTCTATGGCTGGCAAACAGCAAGTACAATTCATCGCTTTTCACCATCCGGTGATGGCCTGGCAGCTTTCCCATGGAACACTTCAACAGACTGCCAAATGACTTTATCAGTCAGCCGATATTGGGTCACTTTCAGTTCACATGACAAGGGTAAAACAGCCATGAACCGTCTGATGTTTGCGATCAAAACTAGCTCTATTTTTGCGTTCTCCGTGGGCAAGGATGAAGGATCGTGAGTTGTTCTTGGTACACACACATTAAAATCCATTTTAGGTTCATATGAACGTCCAAAAGTTAAGGCGAAAATCTTATTCTTCCCCAGTTTTGACTGTTTCATTTACCTGAATGATGGAATTCAGCTTCGGCCTTGATGACAGTAATGGCTACAGTAGTTTCAATCGATAAACCCCACTCTGGTGTCAATATTTGTAAAGCGAATAGCGTCGGACGCCTTCGAATGATAGTAAGGATTCTAAAGGCGTCAACAAAGCATTCAGATTGACCGTTGAGACAGTGGAATGGCCTGAGAAAATATTGATTTCTTTGAGAAGTGAAAAAAACTGGAAGAAACATTATCCGTAGACCAGGCTCCAGCATCTGTTCGCAGAAGCTTCGGCACTGCTAATTACGCATTCGAAGCTTGGTTAACTATAAGACCTCTTGGTACTCCGAGGAGTGAACAGCGATCAGAAATATAGGTCCTCTCAGTGTACCAGCTTAATCCAATGACTTTCCAATCTTTGGCAAAGAAAATAATCAATATAGCACCGGAGATCTGGTTGCCGTTGCATACACCCACGGACAAGTTTTTAAAGACGTGCATCAATAGAAGACTAGCAAGCATAACTTCCACCGATGGCCGATTGTTGTGTTAGCTTCCAGCTGTAACATCCTTCCGGTGCCACCCGAAGGAAGCACGAGGGCTGAGATACTGCCACGTTACCCAAGCCTAGACAGAGGAAGTCGAGGTGCAGAGGTTGGGTTCGAACCACGGACCTTTTGGTCAGTAAATTCACACTCTAACCACTTAAGCCATCCCATCGGAGTTTGCGTTATGACTCAACACCGCAGCCCAGTAGTAGACGCTCACCCACTGTTTTCAAAGCATATCTGAAAAGAAACAACACTTGTTACTAGTCCCTTACTAACAGGCTATCGTTTTGGAAATATCCATTAGCCAACCACTTCAGGAGATCACGTTTAGTCACCCTAGCGATTCGTTGAGCGAAGACTGAAAAATGCCGAATGAACCAGGTGAACATTTATTGGATTATGCTGTCGGTGGAATTTGATGCAATCACAGTCAAGTGTTCCTTCCTGAAACAATAGACGCGATGCTGCACTGGCATGGTAAAAAGATGATGCTGTGATAAAATTGCAACCCAGAATCTTGGTAGCCAAGCGTTGGAAGGGGGCGATTGATTAAGTAGCCCGGATGTGCATTTTGAAGTTCCGTCAAGGGCTGATATTGGTTTGTAGTGTGTGTGGTAATGTCGGCCAAATGGCGGTGATCCAAACAATTGCTTCTTCGTCAATCCAGCTTTAACTTTTAGGTCAACCAGTCACACGACAGACAACAATTGGAGACCAGAAACTAACGATTTTATATTCTGAAGCTTCCGCTGCAATTGTGACCGAAACTGTAGGGTATTAGTGGATTATATATATATACGTATACATATATATATATAGCGAATGGGAAACTTTACCCTGAATAACTCGTGTATAAACAATTTTCTAACCGTAGATTCCCCTTAACTCATCCCCTTTTTTCGCCCTGTTTTTTGTCCAACAGTCTTGCATTGTATTTCGACTATGGACAATTTATATGCCTCCGAACGGTGAACAACCATCTAAATACCATACGGCGAATGCTTCAGACTATCGATATGGCCCTATGGCCGGAAAGGCTGGCCAAAGTAAGTGCGCGTTTTTTTCTTCGTGTGTCCGGCCATGCCCCAACTTAGAGAGAAAAAAGTATAGGAATCAAATTTATTAGTGTCCACTTGTCGATTTTGGGTGCCTGTCAGTGAAAGTACTATCCAGCAGGTATCACAGACTCATCAACACTTGCCGATGATGCGTGCAACTAAGCTTCTGGGATGAGTAAACTCTAGTCGAACGGAACTTTTACAAGATTGTTATCAGCCCTAGCTGATACTTTCCAAACGGTGCCGGGAATGCATACCTTTTCACCCGAGTAGATGGACAGCACCAAGCAGATTCCAGGTCGAATGCTGTCCTACCGCTTATGGTTACCCAGCTGAGGAATCTTTAATGTTCGTGTGAAAGGATTGCAGATGATATGGGAACCAATAATAAGAGAACTCCCGTAAATGTGAGATAAAAGTAAGTTCTAAGTGGAAATCGAGACAGCTAGAACACAAGTTATGAGGAACATATACGACTGATATAAAATCAGGAAAGTTCGGACGGGTGAAACTATAGAACAGATTTGAACAACCGAAGGTTATAAGAGAGAGGGGAATTGGGAGAAAAGTTCTGTGCGAGAGCGGAAGACTTTAGTCTGGTATGAAAGGTCTTACCTCAAGGGAATTGTTAAGCAGATGAATAGCCTCGTCAGCACAGCCGAAGCATCAAGTAGTCCCAACTAGATACATGGTGTATTTTGACTGGAAGCGTAAAAAGTTCCTAAAATATCGCATTGAAAGCTGATTCTGAACTGCTCGAAGGTTTAAAAACGGATGCTTAGAGTAAAATGATTTAGACCCTACTTAGCGCTTGTTTCTGCTTGGTGTTCTCAACGTGACATACACAACGGTTCGTTTATGGCAACCGAAAATAGCACGCGAATTCCCGCTACCATCGGCGGATATGGAACCTATGTCTATCTGAAGAGGAGCCGGAATAAACCTCGTATGCATTTCAGTGATCAGATATTTCGTTGGCAAGTAGCGCAGCGTGGAATACCAAGAAAATCCGGGAGTTAACTCGAACTTTGTATTGGAGAGCAAGCAGAACTTTACCGAGGGTGGTAAACAGGCAAACAGCATGCACCTTTAACATATATCAGGCGAACTAATTTGCATTTAGTGTTCAGATGTGCCCAGATGTACCCAGAAGTCCTTCCAGTTTGAAACAGTCATTAGGTACCCAGAAGTCCTTCCAGTTTGAAACAGGCGTACACGGAAAGGCTCGTTTGACCGAATAGGATGCACAGGGCCAAGTCACCAGAAAGTCATGTAGTCAAAAACGGAGGGAGGACTGAAGAGATATCTGGCCGGTCCACATGGTTTAGTTTACCATTCGTGTGATATAGAAAGGTGGGAATGGATTCACGCATAAATCGAGAGTCCAAAATGGTGAGAAAACACAAGTCACTGATTGTTGTCTCAGGAAGCTCCATTCTAGCCAATCAAATGTGAAATTACCGTATGTTCGTGAACCATAAAATCAGCATTACAATCGATTGCACGTAGGGCTGAGACGATAGCGAGGAAACAATCGTCAGCACTGTAATTTTGATCCTCTCATTCCACACAATCCTTCCACACAGTCACCATGCTTACTTTTCATATTACCCGGCACTCCCGAACAGAGAGTAGGTTAGGCTTGATGAAAGACACCGATGTAAACGCTCTCAATCCTTTGAAGACAGTGTATCCTGAAGCAAGTTTTCCGAGTGCTCTTGCAATCTGATTAGACTACCTCTACCTCACCAGCAGTAACAGTCAAACTTATGCACTTTATTGGTGGCGTAAGAAGATTTAGGAATTTTTAATGGTGACTTCATCCTTTAAGTGAAGTCAAACTGTTCTGAGAAGCGAGGGGGAGCACAGTAGATCTGTTTTATCCTTATTGGAAGTCATCAGAAGTGCACAGCTCATCAAATGCCAGGAAACCTTCAATGCGCGACCAGCACCAGTGAAGCTCGTGTAAAAATACATCAAGCAGTCATGTGACATACTCGCCTGCTACTTCGTCAAATAAGTGTGTAAACCTCAAAGAATTAGGCACTCCAGTGCCGAACAGGTGGTGCCTTCTGCTGACTTAATTTCCGTCATCCAACAACAATGTATTAGGGGTTATAGTTCCAACTGCGGTACGTATGGTGAGTGGAAATCCTAAATTTCCTATTACTCTACCTAGGAATGGAAGCTACGCTTACTTATCTTGGTGCGCGTGCTACAGCAAAAACTGTCATTGTGTTGATTTGGACTTGAAGATGTGTGTTGATCGCTTTCATAATTGCTTTCTGTTTCACAAGGTGAATCATCTAACTGTCAGAGTAACAGAACAATTCCAAATGAAGCCAGTCTCCCTCAGCAGAAGGGATTTGGTGGGCAAAGTACGAACGTCTCGTAATCAGGATTTACGGCCATACACGCTATCGGATCTGGGAATTTGTATTACGGTTGCAGACGTACCGACCCGTTTGATTGATATGTCCCCAGAAAACCCAGTTGGTCTGCCATGCATTCACAAGCTTGAACGATCGAACGAATCGGAAGACGAGCCAACTGGTCTGACAAAAGGTCAGTTGCTGTTGCGAATCAGCACCTACTCTTTGGTCGACTTGTACAGAACCGTTCTTCGTACTCCTCCTGGACCGTCACGTGCGATGTGGAAAAATCCATTTTGTATGACCAACGTCCATCGTCCGGAAAAAGTTCATCTGACGGCGGAGCTGTTGAATTTGATGCGGAGGTTACAATTCACACAAGAAGTTATCACATTTGTCGTATGCAACGCAACTGACATAAAGCCACTTGTGCAACAACGGGAATCAAGTACTCCACAGCCCCTTTTCCCGGATCCTTTTTTAGTCCCTCGAATTGAGACCTCCCAAATGCCTGTGAAACCGTTCGGGGAAGACATCTCATCCACGTCGCATGCAGAAAGACTTGGTCCCCTGCAAGATGCCCAAATTAGTCCCGGCGGTTTTTCAGATCTTGGCTCAGACCCATGGAATGAGCTGTCAAGCAGAATAAACCCACCTGCGGAATCTGTTCCCGGGAGGTTAGTACACTCGGTTTCGACATATGTTGCAGATTTTTACATGTAATCAAAACCCGGTCCATGGCATTTCATAGAGATTTTGCCTGGAGTTCTTCATATCTACGCACGTTTCTCAGAAAGTACTCTTCTGAAAAGTGATGGAGCTAGATTGCCATATGTCGCAGCCATCAATTTTGAGCACTGCACCCCAGAATTTTTCTATAACTCACTAAGTGGCATGGAATGAGTCAACTCAAGTAAGCATTTTCCACCATTAGTCGCACTTACAAAACAGACAAAATATTTGCGCGTTCCATTTAAAAAACTCAGCACCACCAAAAATCATTTAAACAATTTCATAGCCAGATTTGTAAAAAACGTAAAGCTTGGTAGTGAAAAGAAAAACATTGAAGACTACTGAAGTCGAACACTATCCCGCATTCTATCCACCCGACATTGAGGCTCGTATAATTCGAGCCAGACTGTGTCATATTACACATGACTTAGCCGCGTAAGTCCTTGGTGTGGCTGGCGAAAGGTCTACGTCAGTAGTCCATCAGGTACGTAGAGTATGAACCCCATGGTTTCACTCCTTCCTAACTTACTTGGCAGTTGTGTCATATATATGTATATATAATATTTTTTATATTTTAACAGTTATAGTTATTTTTATTTTTATGTTTTATTTATTTGACATTTTTGTATTGTATCACTTTGCTGAGGGCGTAATCCGATTTGAGCTGTCCAACTTTTTCTAAACCTTGTATGCGGAATGTGTGAAACGCCCTTTTGCTACACCATTCGACCAAGCTGATTGGCTTAGAGAGACAAGCCTCTGAAAACTGGCGATGCTCAAATGTCGAACCCGAAAAAATCGATGGTCCCATTTGATCCAGTTATGACAAGTCTTGGACGGAACCTCTGAGTATGACTGCAGGTTGTTCGGGCATTCGTAATCACCAAAGGAGTTTCACAATCAGCCATCATGCCGAACAATCAGGCTTGGCGTGCGGTCAAATCGAATAGATTATACAATACATGAATTGGATACATCTCATGAATATAATTGATATTCCACATGGCTTTCTGAATAGCTGCCCCACATATGTTCAAAGAAAAGACCATAAGATTCTGAGTAGCCTCTGAGTGACACAGCTTTTCTGAACAGATGTTCTATCAATAGGTATCAGAATATTGAAGATGTGGCCGTGTGGATATGTCTGTTATTCATGAATCTACCGTAGTCGAAACATAGAACAGATCTAGACTGTTTGGATCGTTAGAAATGTCGGCTGTTCGGGTCAGTAGCATTTTAACTTCAGGTGAGGCTAACTTTGCAGTCCGCATAACCTTATCTACAGTCCGTATAACTGCATTTCGGACACATTCAAATGCGAAACGAACCGCGAATGTTCTCATTTTCCTTAATAAATGTTTCGGTCGAATAATCTTGCGACCCCTCTCCATCCTCTAAGATGTATAACAGAATGCCTACTAAAAAAAAGTAGGTGCCCACAAAAAATTGCGCTGTGGTGAGAAGGGTTGTTATGACAGCGTGTTTGGATAATAGTGTAGCGGTGATACTACTGATGGGAAGGACATGCAAGTAGTATGTTCTCTCGTAAATCCACTTCGCGTCTCTTGAAAAGTGAGGTCTATTAAGGAATTGGTGGAGTCACTTTGTAGCATTTGCTTGGATTTGAGCAACAGTCAATTAACATACAGGAAAGTTCAAGAGAACGAGTTCAAGAAGAAGAAGATATTTAGTTTTTGTAACCAAGATTCATAGGAGAGTGTCGCTTTCCTGTCGAATAGTCTGCAACTGTTCAGTTGGCATTTTTCTAATAAATAACTCCGCAGCGAAGGCCTTCTTCCATTTAATAGTAGCTCGGGAGCATTTCAGTTTGTTGATGAGGTAACATGGGGTCCATTAACCACACAATGCTCTTAGCTGCAAAACCCTCAGGAATGGGATAGAACATTCTGCGCCAAAATGTTGCATTTTGTTGCGCATGTAGTCAAAACAAAAACCATCGTATTTTCGTATTTTCGCTGCTCAGCAAATTCATTGTGCACTGAAGCAAAATTTGTTGGCGGAAAAGTCTAGTGGAGTACTTTCCCAACATCGCTGAGACCCTGGGATGCCTAGATGGGGCTCAAAAGTTTGGACTGGTACTCTGAACTCACTTGCCCGATTGCTTTAGTCCAACAGAAAGACGTCATAGCTTTCGAAAATTCAATTCGATTTTGCGAATACTGAGCGCCGGTGACTTGTGATCTGCAGGCCAGTCTGCGAAAAGAACAACAGCGCCCGATCAACAAGATGGTTGTTTTGTCTAATGGATTTCACAGGCCTTGTGGTGAGACCACAAAGCTGACGAAAGTGCGGACTAGGCGGAATGCCATGTACGACCTGGCCAATAAGAATCGACCTTGTTCTCAGTGAACACCGTGAGCAGTAGAAGAGAAATCTGATAACTTTTTGTCAGTTGAGCAGACGCCTTGGCTGCAAGAAGGCCCCAGGAAACTCACCGTAGTTTGATGACATTCGGTCTGGTGATTTAATTGGTGAACCTTGCCGTTGGAAGACAAAGAAGCCAGTCTGGAGATTAGTAACTGTTGCCAGTTAAACAACTTAATAAATGTACAATAACTGAACACGCATCTAGTTCCCAGGTTATGCCATCCCACCTTGTGAATGTATTCTTTCCGTAAGCATACGATTATAAGCTTATGATCTGCCTTAATCCAAGTGCTCCAACTGTTACTCTCTCTCTCCCGTTTTTCCCAGCGTTATAAGTCCAAGCTTGAAAGAGATGACTGGACCCTTGTATGAGGGCATTGTAGTAACACGAATGGGATCCATGTGTGTTGAAGATGATCTTTTCAATGAACAGGAGTGCCAGTGGTTTTTCTCGGGTGCCGAAGTTGGCTCGATTGCCAAGCTGGAAACGGGCAATTCACCAGAACAAAGCAGTAACCAAAAAGATCCAGGATCCAGTTCGGTGAGTTGCATTTATCTTCCTAAAGGTGGATAGTAATCAATAATATCAATACTTTTCAATCGGTTGGAATGTTGTATGGTGTGAAATAGTTTCATGATTTTCAGCTGAAAATTCGTCTTGCCAGGGAAGCCAAACCTATGCTAATAGGCCGAGAGGTTGTTTCATCCTTATTAGGAATCATCAGTAGTGCGCATTTCGCAAAGCCCCAGGGAGTCTCGAACTCGTGACCTTCCGACCACTGGCAACCGCTCGGCCTCTAGCTACTGAACGGCAGACAGGATATAGCACCGCCAGCCTTTCAGTCGCTTCTGACTGCAAAAAAATTGCACAGGCTACTTCAGCACCAATTTCTCCGTAGCATAAGCAGGCTGAAATTCAAATTCTCCTCTCTATTCGGGCACTCTAATACTACTCCCGCCTGCTTCCCTCCGGAAATTATAAGAAGCAATAAATAAGACTCTGTGCATTCATAGGTACATACATCGGTAGATTATCATTCAGATTTTCAATTTTCTACTAAAGGAATTCTGTTTCATTCCATCCCGAACCAAAAAACGTCCATGATTCCGGTGGTTATAGACCTGATCCCAATATGCGAGTCACTCAGTTTGTAAAAGGGCCATATCAGGAATCAGTAGTTGTAGTGACTGCATTACAGCGTGATGATGCAATGCAGTCAGTCGTCAGACTAACAGCACAAAAATACTTCCCCGCACAAGTAATGACACACCTAAGCCTAGGTGTCCGAAGCTGAGTCCCATAGGTAAAGCAGTCAATGGGGAACCACCGAGGAGACACTTCATTTCCCTCTGTCTCATCTTGATCTACTGCACATTGGTTTGGACGCTGATGGAGGAGTTTATTAGCCATTGTTGCTTCTTCGTGTAGCACAGTCTTTCTAGTTCGCGCAGTCAGCAGTAACGATCGGTGTAAAGATTTTCAAACTGGCCTATTTGGGTCGGATTAAACCGCGTGTACCGCCGAAAAATGTCTAGAGACTTATCCATTGGCATGCATATGCTGATTGAGTTCCACGTTCCTATAGATTAGTTATCGAGAAGTGGTTGTTTAATTTACTTTACTGCTTTGTAATGGTCTTCTGCAGTTCTGTTATGCCGGACAACATGTACGGTTAAATCAAGAACGCCACGACGGATTGGTTATTTCAATCTTTCTAACCCAAGTTTCTGTGCGATTTGACCTAGACAAATTCTGGAGACATACCTAACCCACACGACTTAAGCGAAAACGTATCTGTGTCACGCGAGCCACAAACTTTAGACTCACCTCCACTAACCATAGTAACTCCTGTTCAAACTGTAGGCAGGTCGAAACATAGATACCTTGAAAATTTCAGCCTCCTAAACCAGGAGGAACATGAGCAAGCGCACAAAAGCCCTCAAAGTAAGCCGAATAAACCATGGACCAATCAAAGCCCACTCAGTCGTTCACATCCAATCACTTGCCACTCGTTCGCCCCGGTCAACTTAGCGACAAGCGCCAAGGTGGCAGTTTCTTCAAGCTGGCTGTTCCCATAACTGCCTATACTGGACGCGTCATAGTCAGATTCAAGTGACCCACTCATGTAGCTAATCTGTTCGTATCATTATTGGTTATGTCGACTAGTTCGAGCTTTTTTGCTAACAAAGCAGTACCTTGTTTGTGTGTTACTTATAACTTTAGTTCTCCTGACCCACCCGACTGTCCAGGCCAACAAAAATTAGATTCGGGAGTGAAACACCTTGGGAAATTCAACTGTCGTATAGGGAAAAGACAACAGCTTACCGGTTCGCGTGACATACCTCAGTGTACTTGACGTCCCAAGCCAACTGAAAAGAATCTAGGCCCCCTTTTGACACGTTTTCCAGAGAGGAAGTCCTGCTAACTTAAAGTTTAGAAATCATCTTCTGCAGTACATAAGGCTGCTGAAAATTCCTCGATAGTTATGACTGGTTTTGTCCTTCTTGAGTCTCATCAGGTAGGCGCACTTCCAAAGTATCCGTCAACCTTATGTCCTACTCGAACCCATATTGGACTGATTGCAAAAAACACACTCATTTGCAATTCACGGGAGACTCAACTGAATTTCTCGTTCATGATGTTTTTCAACCAAATGTGCTGCACACAGGCCGTCTCATGTTCCAGTTGGTCGAAATCAGTCCAATTTGGGTTCAATAAGAACATAAGGCTGACGGAAACTTGGGGGCTGTGCCTACCTGACCAGCCCCAAGAAGGGCGAAGCCGGTCGTGGACTGTCGAAGAGTTTCCGGCAACCTTGTGAGTAGTTTCCTTACATTACTGCGATACTCGAGTACCGTGCCTACTGAATCATGAGGCGGTCTGTGTAAAACACATTCAGTTTTAGACTATCATAAACGAGAGATTCAGTTCAGTCTCTCGTGAGAACCGAATTGAATTGCAAATGGGTGTATCTGTCGCAAGGAATAATTTATTCTACTTTAACACCAAATGTATATATCTGGGTTCAAGAAGTGCACACCATCACCGTGCCCAGTAAATCGGGAGAAAGCACAGAAAGGTGGAAGGATTTCACAGAATATGATATTCAAAGCCGCTTAAATTGGGCAAAAGTTCTTGTCTCCCTGGAATGATCGTTTGGACCATGTCATTTCCGGTGGTGCGAGTTGGTTCAATCTGAGTGGATCGGATGTGTGAAATTACTGCTGGAATGACATCCATAAGTAGGCACTTTGTGCTGTAGCAGCGCTCCTTCTCTACCTGTTAAGTAAAAATACCGAGTGTCATTCGAGACCCCAATGCGTTCATGAAGACATTAGATCATGCCCTGCCAGTGTTTGCCAAAAGTAGATGGGGGCTTTAGCGGGATATTGCAACGGGGTACAGTTCATTACCCACAAACATCTGGCTTGTGTTCCGTGATATTACGATAAAGGACTACTCTACTTGTAGCCCGAAGTTGAAACCCTACTGGCACATTTGGAACATAGTAGTGGAAGGAAGACGGCCTTATTGTGGAGATGTTTACAAAAAACACCAACTGAGCAGTTACATACTATTGGACAGGGAAGCAAAATTCTCACATGCAACTTGTTTACAAAAACTGAATATCTGTCTTCTCCTTGAACGCGCCTTCTTGAAATTTCCTGGATATTCATTGACTGTTACTCAAATGCAAGCAAATGCTACACAAATGCTACACAAACAAATGCTACAAAGCGATTCAACAAACTCCGCGATAGATTCCATTTTCAAGAGACGTGGAGCGGATTTACGAAAAACATACTACTCACATGCCCCATCAGTAGTATCCGCCGTTACACAAGTACGCCAAATGTAGATTCTAGAGTTGACATGGTGGTTACTTTCAAACGAAGATCGAAGAGCTTTGACCTAGCTTTCACACGGATAGACGTTTTGGAACGATATCATAAAGACATTTGGTTCAAAAACCTCTTGACATGGTGGTACAAAGAGGTGACGTTTATTTTCCAGCTTTTTGTTTCATCAATCTGTGTCTGATTGAGTTGGTGACCAGCTGTTAACTAATTCAAAACACACTGTGAATATTGGCGACTAGTGCCTGTGGGTATTCTTTGGCCTCATGTAGGCATCTAAGATGGGGAGGTGAGCTTTTCTCCCATGATTGGTCCTCTTGAACAATGTATGTGACATTCCGTTATCACATTTTCATTGTCTTCGCGCAGGTGTCTAAGAATTCTCTGACTCTACACGCGATCTCTGTCGAGCATCACATAAATTTGTGATTCATTGGCTAAGAATATCAATCAGTGGGAACAAGCTTTTTTTGCCACTGCTTAAAAGTTCGAAAGTTGCGTCTGAATGATCATCAAACATTGCAGAAGGTCTGACCATTACCTAGCCATAGGACTGGAACCCTGACCAGAAAAGTTCGTATGATTGAAATTTTGATGTCTGAGAAGATAGTGGGGTAAAATTCCAGATCCGTCACTTGGTACTTACCATAACCTTCGTGAGGATCTGCATTTTTTAACCGTATACTGGTATGAGGAGAGAAGCCCTCCGCCACGAAGCCGATCAGTAGCAAACACCAACTCAACAGTTACAAGCTGTTGGACCGGAAAGTAGACATCTCCAATGCACCTTATTTTTAACAACCGAACATCCTCACGCGTCTCCTTGAACTTTCGTGAATGTTCATTGACTATCACCCGACTGTGAACGAACTCTGTAAAGTAGTGCCACAGGTTCTGTGAAACTCCCCACTTTCCATCACACGCGAGGCGGAGTTACGAGAGAAACACACACTACTCGCACGCCCTGTCAGTAGTATCCACCGCCGCACCGGCAGTTGGTCAGCTACTGGTGGAGTGGGGAGGTATGAAGGTATCCAATAGATGATTAACTTTATATGTAAAGTCAGTGCATGCTGTCAAGCTGTGAAGCAACGCGCGATGTTTCATCCTTATTGAGAACCACCAGCAGCGCCTATTAGCTTATTGATTTGATCCCTCAAATAAGTGACCTACAACCTGGGGGTATCAGATGAGCGAAAAATTCCTGACTGACTGATTCTACAGCACATTCACCAGATGGCTTGGAACCAGTTACGAAGACGTTTCGAATGCCCGCCACTTTTGTTTTCACCACAAACCTGAAATGTTTTCCAGTGGCGTTTATGGTTGGAGCTGTATGTACTTCAAGAGCGATGCCAGGTCATGCGTCATAAGTAGTGTGTGATAGTTTTATTGAACTTCACCCGTCACTGTTTTGCAAGTCGGTTGGTTACATGCCACCTCCACCAGATCTTCTTACTGATGATCTGTTAAAATGTCAGCGGGAGGCGCGTATAATTTCCTGTGTTTTTCGATCTGTTCAAAGATGGACCACCCTGTGAGAGATTTCCGTTTTCGTAAGAGGAATGCTTCATCGTTCGTATTATACCTCTGTCATGTGATTCCTCCATTTCTTCTATTCCTTCTCTTAGGGCTTTGCGTGGGGTTCAATAATGGAATCTCCAATCCGTATGTCTCATTATA